AAAAGATGCATATTCCAACCTCTTTAAATAATGAATTAGAGTGGTGGCACAATAATATAGGATTAGGTCAATCGATAAAATCTAAAAATTTCTCACTTGAAATTTTTCAGACGCCTCAAGACGGGTTGGGGGAGCGTTTTGTAACGGTCACAGATGTCACGGTTTCTGGAATAATAAAGAGCAGGTAAAACATATTAATTTTTAGAAATCAAAGCCGCCTATTTCGCCTTGAGATCACCTAAAGACAAAGAAAATATTTCCATTTTATTAAGAATTGATAATCAAACGGCAATATCGTGTATTAATCGAGGTGGAAGTGTTAAATACTCATATTTAGATAATATTACAAAAAGCTCTTTGGCAGTGGTGTGAAAAGAAGTGTATTATAGTATTCGCTAGCTATATTAGTTCATCTGCTAACTTTGAGGCAGATAGAGAATCAAGATTTTTCTCAATTAATACTGAATATGAGCTAAATGACACTGTATATAATCAAATTATACAGAGATTTGGTTCTCCGGAAATAGATTTATTTGCAACTAGAATTAACAAAAGTGCAATAAATTTGTTTCCTGGTTTCCAGATCCTGAGTCATGGAAGGTTGACGCGTTCACAATAAGGTGGTCAGAATTTTTTTCTTTTACGCTTTCCCCTTTTCAATAATTACTAGGGTCTTAGAAAAATTGTTCAGGAAGGGATTAGGAATTGTAGTAGTACCTTATTGGCCTACACAGGCATGGTATCCCCTGTTCACTAAGTTGTTATTAGAGAAACCTATTTATTTTAAAGCAAACAAATTTTTACTTGTCTCTCCTTTCAGAGACTACCACCCACTACACGAGGAGATTTCCCTGGTAGTAGGAAATTATCCGGCAGGCTTATATAAGAAAAGGGGTTCCAGTGACAGCAATAGAAATAATCGAGGCATCTATATCAAAAGGAACACTTAAACAGTACACATCTTGTTATAAAAATTCTGGCAATTTTGTGCTGACAGTAACAGGGATCCTCTTGTTTATAAGCTAGAAACATATTTGGATTTTTATCCGATGCCTTAAAAGAAGGTCTTTCATTTTCTGTCGTCAATTCTTATAGATCAGCTCTTAATTTGATATTTAGTCCTATAAGTAATAATGATGAAAAAGTAATTAATCGTTTTGTGAAGGGAGTGTCTAATATTCGACCACCAGGACCTAAATATAAGATTACTTGGGATCCAGACCCTCTATTAAAATACCTAGGTACATTATATCCTCTAGAGGCGTTAGATTTAGAATACGCAACTTATAAACTAGTCACTCTTATGGCACTGACATCAGCCAGCAGAGTTCAGACTCTTTCTCTAATTAAAGTTCAAAACATTAATATATCGGTAGACAGAGTTGAGATTAAAATACCAGATAGAGTAAAACATCCGCTCCAGGCAGATTCCAACCGCTACTAATTTTTCCGTTTTTAAGAGTAAACAAGAACTTTGCGTTGCGTCCACCATTGCGGACTACATTAAAAGAACGAAACCAATACGCAATACCGAAGAAAACTAATTCTTACCCATAAAAAACCACACCGTTCAGCATCTTTCAGACAATAAGCAGGTGGATTAAAAATACTTTAAACTTAGGTGGCGTAGATACGTCCATTTTTCAGCCCATAGTGTACGTCACGCTACAACTTCGGCTGCGTATAAAGCAGGCGTAAATATAGAGATAATTAAAAATACAGCAGGCTGGACTCCTGCCTCGAACACCTTCTTTAGTTTTTATAATAGACCTGTAGAAAAACCTCAAGATAAATTTGCTTAAAGCCATTATTGAATTGGGTTCTAATAAATCGTAGTGTTCTACTGTTAGTAGTATTAAGTATTTTTTTTATTATTATTTAGGTGTTATCAATATATCATATTCATTCTATTAGTTATAAGTTAAAAGTTAAGTTCTTTACATTATATACTCAGTAGTTAGTTATAAACTCAGAGTTTATGTTAATCATTTATTAGTAAATATGTAAAAATATAAAAAATATAATTTCCAAAGTTTTCTAAAGTTCAAAAAAAAAAAAAAAAAATATTTTTTAAATTTTAGAATTTATATTTCTTACAATAAGTAATTGTTAGAGAAGTTAATATCTTATGATAATAATTAATTATATCAATATATGGTTATAAAAAATAAAAAAATTGCCTTTGACTTTGAACATCTACATGGTAATTATATCAAGGACAAGCGAAGGAAAATTAAAAGATTAATCGACTTACCTGAAGGGATTGATCATAATCCGAATTTTGTCCGAAATATAATTACCCAACCCTAATGATATACCCCAGATCCTAGGCAATTTTTTTAGACACTTCAACGGAATGACAACACAGGCAGCGATCGAACCGGGCCACAGATCAAAAAAACTCCAAAAAAAGTTCGTGCTGATGAGTAGGTTTATTCGGAAACTACATGGTAATTATATCTTCGGACAAGCTCGGAAAATTATGATTAATCATCCTTCAGGTAAGTCGATTAATCTTTTAATTCTGAGGCAACGCATCATTTATACAGGGTTGTTTACCACATACGACACGGAGTATTGTAGCTAAACGATGAGATTTTTACAAATTGTAAGTTTTGGGTTCGATGAAGGAGTATTAGAGGTACAATTTAAAAATAATTTTACAAGATACAGAGTGTCCCAAATAAGTAAAAAATATCAAAGTTGTATTTTTTTAAATGGAACACCCTGTATATTATTACATTTTAGTTTCTACAATTAAAATAAAGGTAAATTTGATTAAGGTTTATTATACTTAAACCTTACCGTTTTGAAAATTTTCAAATTTTTGAAATTGCAGTAAAATTTTAAGGCTTCATTTCTCCAAGGGTATCAAAGTTTTTCAATACTAAATATTTACTGAAGTTTATTTACTGATCAGTTATTGTGTTGCAATAATAAAAATAATACTACCTTATCCAGAGTGTCCTAAAATTTATTTTTAAATAATTATTAGCTTCAAACGGCAATAACTTGTTTAATTTAAAATGGAACACCTTGTATATTTTACGAGAATCAGATGCACAATTTAATTGTCTATCAAATTATATTATACCAATTTTTACCTATCTCTTTAACTTTCCGTAGAAAATGCATTTTCTTGTAATTTAGAACTTATTTATCAATATACTCATGGAATATTGACATTTTAGATTATTTTTAAAGATGTACCAAATTTTTAAAGAGTACAGATACTAATATTGTCGATATAATTCGTTTATTTCATTAAAAATAAAAAAACTGTTTAAATATTTGTTAAAGAGGATCAATTAATATGATTCCAGTATTCAACCTACATTAACTGACTGTTTGCGTTGATTAATAATAATTGCTCCAAATACTAAAAAACTGAATTTTGTATGGGCATTAGACAGTGTGATAAAAATTTGCATTTATTAAAAAAATCATTTTTTAATAAATGCTTATTTATAACAACAGAGACTTTAATTTGATTATTTATTAGATTAACAGAGACTTTAATTTGCAACTTATTATTATATTGATTTCACATTTATTTATAATAATTTATTAACGAACACAATTAAGTATGTAATTAATTAGTATATGGGCGGAAATAATGGTGTTATATTTAATTAATGGTATACTCTTTTATAAAGATTTAAATAGTTTTCTTTTGCATATCAAATTATATAATATTATCGTTTTGCTAAAACGATAATATTACTTAGTCTGTATTTTTTGTACATTTGTTGCTTTAAAAACAATCTAAAATGTCAATATTCCATAGATATATTGATAAATGAGGTCTAAATTATAAGAAAATGCATTTTCTACAAAAACTTGAAGGGATAGGTAAAATGGTATAATACAATTTGATAGACAATTTAATTGTGCATCTGATTCTCAATTAAAATATACAGGGCATTCCATTTAAATTAAAAGAAGTTATTGCCGTTTGAAGCTAATAATTATTTAAAATAAATTTTTAGACACTCTGTATAAGGTAGTATTATTTTTATTATTGCAACACAATAACTGATCAATAAATAAACTTCATTAAATATTTAGTATTAAAAACATTGATACCCTTGGAGAAATTAAGCTTTAAAATTTTTACTGCAATTTCACAAAATTGAAAATATTTCAAAAACGGTAAGGTTTAACGCCCAGTTTCATAATACAACCCTTAAAGTCACTTTAGTTAAAGTCCACTTTAAGTTAAAGTCCACTTTAAATTCAAATAGGTTTCATAATCAATTGGCCTGGTTACTTTAACTAAAGTGAAAATTGCCTATCAAATTTATTTTGGTACCACTGAAATACACGATCTGGCTGTCAAAAACGTCTATTTGTGAGGTTAGATCGTTTTATCGATTATTTGTGTAGCGTCTTGGCGTCAATTTTCTATCGTTTTTCCGTTATAATACATACCTCCGAAATCAAATTTAAAATATTTAAAATGAAAAAGGGCAAGAACAACAAATTTTTCAGCAGAAGAAGAGCTTCTTTTAGTGGAAGAGATTAAAAACATGGCGCTATTGAGAATAAAACGACTAATAAATTCTCACACAGAGAAAGGGTAAAGTATATACCATATAGATTATTTTTTTTTGAAGATTTAAACTATTTTCATTTTTAGGAGCAAGCGTGGAGCAAGTACTCCTGAGCTACAATGCAAAATCAAGCCGACCTAGGGAAATGGAACAAATCAAATCCAAATTTGACAACCTGAAAACAAAGCGAGGAAGCATGCTAATGAAAAAAATAATTTGACAGGTACCGGGGAGGCCCAGCTGTTCTGAAAACAGATGATCCAGTGTTAACAGTGGTACTGAGATATTAAACTAAAAATCCGTAGTGGGTTACACCCTTTAACGGATTCAGATTGTGACGTAAGAATATAATGCTATATGTTAGTTATCTGCGTTATTATACATAATACACATATTTTACAGAACGTTTGTACGCTGCCTCTCATTGAGAATGAAGGTTATAAATCTTGATGGCAACATTGAGGAATCTATAGAATTATTACAAGTAAAAGTATTATAACAATTCATTTTTCATATTACTTATTTAGTTTTTTAGCCAGTTGAAATTGAAGTGATACAGCCATCCTCTTCAAATTGTGTAAGTTGATAATTTTAATGTTATTAAAAAAGCAAATCATTAATACTTCGAGTATTTACTTCATACGTGAAATATCTATTATACCAATAGAGGACATGCTATACTAAAGTAGGAGATAATTACCTCCTGTATCCTATATAATATAATATATTTATGATTACCTAGAAGTATTAGGATTTATTTAGTTTGCATTCATCCCCCGCATGTATTTATTACTGATATTGATTATTTCAGGAAGCTACAACTAGCTACAGTAGACTACAGCTGGCTACAGAAGCTACAGCTAGCTACATTGTTGTGGATGAAGAAAAAGTAAGATATAAATTCATTTATTCATATATGTGCATACTTACAATGTATTTATAGATGGAAACTGGAATTAAAAAAGAGACTGGAGTAATTATACTCCAAAAGAAATTAAAAGAGCCTGTCAACAAATTGAGGCGAACCATTCCTAATACAACATTACAAGCAAAAGAAGAGTATTATAAAAAAAAATTGAATTTCTGCATGTCCAGGAAGAAGAGTTCGAAAGAACACAAGTTCGAAACTCTGAAAAACATGTGAAAGAAATGGAATTGGTTAAATTTAGAAATAGAGCTAAAAACAGTTGTTACATAAACAAAAAAGACTTAGAATAAATGTTGTTTCTAAATAAATGCATATTTTTTAATTCACCTGTAGCTAACATCACTTTATAGTTACGAATCAAAATTAATAAAGAATTATTAAATAGGTGTTATATAATAATAAATAATATTCTCTATTTAATAAATGCATACAGTTTTTATTCATTGTAACAGTTACAGTTTAACAAATCAAAATAAAGAAGTGTTCAATATTTAACAATGAATGTCCCTTTAAAAAATGCATATTTTTTATGTCTTTATAATTATAGTTAAATTATAAATCAATCTAAATTAAATACAAAAAACATTATTTTAAAATATATATTGAAGTGCTGCTAAAAATGGTATATAATGCCAAAATGTTGATGGACTAACAGATCTCTTTACTTGTCGTCCATTGTTAATATTATTATCAAAATTGACATGATTTTCATGAATATCATCACCTTCTTCTTGTTCCAGCCAATCGTCTGAAATTCTTCTCCCATTACTTAAGCGCTAAATTGTGGAGTACAGCTGTTGCCACAATTATGTTTCTAATTGTTTCTAATTTTAACCTCATACCTAATCGAAGTATTGGAAACCTTCGTTTCCATACCCCATACTGCCGTTCCACAACATTCCGTGTCCTAATAGGTGATTCATTATATATAAATTCTGAGCTGCTGTTTCACGGTTTGCAGTTGTGTCATGAGGTATGGTTTCAATGTATAACCGCTGTCACCAATTAATAAGTACTGGCCATACATGTTTATTCTCAAATTGCTGTTTTAAGTTACTGTTGTTGAATATAGTTTATTATTCTCAAATTGCTGTTTTAAGTTACTGTTGTTGAATATAGTTTGGTCATGTGTAGACCCTGGCCATCGACAAACAATATTCCTTATTCTTAAATCGGCATCAGAAACTGTTTGTACATTTACTGCAAAAATATCCTTTCCTGCATCAAGAAAAATTTCAGCATCGTCTCCCCCTACTGAATCTATTTTTATTAAAAGTACAGTCAATAGCACCAATACATTTTGGAAACCGAGCTATTCTATAAAAAATCTTCACATGCTGCCTCCATTTCTTGGTTTGTACCATACATGTTGATATATTGTGGCCTCAAAGATGCAATTGCCTGAGAAACTCTTTGCACGATTCTACTAGCTGAGCTTTTGACACTCCCATAAAATCTCCTACAGAGAGTAGGATGTTTCCTGTTGCATAGAAACGTAATGTAAGCAACAATTGCTTCATTGGATCTATGCATCCGTCCCCCTAAAATATACATCTATATATAGAAATATGTGGTAAATTAATTATAGTAAAATACCTGTTTGTTGGTAACACTATCAAGTTTTCAATTTTTCTAATAAATTGATAACCGTTGCCTTTGTCAGCCTAAACCTATCAAAGAAATCAAGCTCATCATATTCGTGGACGTAATCTTTCCTTTTTGGGATATATCTTTGGCCTCCTCACAACTATTTCTTCTTCTTCAGAACTAGAACTTGAGGATGAAGATAACATATTTCAAAAAATGATTTATGCAATGACAGAATTAACCAAACACTTTTCTCTCTGCTAAATCCACAAAAGCTAAAAACCACAGGGGTTAAAACACGAGGATGAAACGAAAAATAGGGAGTTCGAAACAGGTTAGAAATTCGAAATATAGGGTTACGGTTAAAGTAGTAAAGTACTTTAGCGTTTTTAAAGCGGGAGCATGTGCACTTTAACTTTAAAGCGACTTTAAACCTTAAAGTTTAATTATGGAACGCAATTTTAAATTTAAAGTTCCTTTAAGATTTTAAAGTACTTTATATTTTATTATGAAACTGGGCGTAAGTCTAATAAACCTTAATCAAATTTACCTTTATTTTAATCGTAGAAACTAAAAATGTAATAATATACAGGGTGTTCCATTTAAAAAAATACAACTTTGATATTTTTTATTTATTTGGGACACTCTGTATTTTAAATTGTAGCTCTAATAGTCCTTCAACGAACCCCAGACTTACAATTTGTAAAAATCTCATCGTTTAGCTACAATACTCCGTGTCGTATGTGGTGAACAACCCTGTATATTAGTATTAAGAAATGTATATAAAATTAAAAGATTAATCGACTTACCTGAAGGATGATTAATCATAATTTTCCGAGCTTGTCCGAAGATATAATTACCATGTAGTTTCCGAATAAACCTACTCATCAGCACGAACTTTTTTGGAGTTTTTTTGATCTGTGGCCCGGTTCGATCGCTGCCTGTGTTGTCATTCCGTTGAAGTGTCTAAAAAAATTGCCTAGGATCTGGGGTATATAGGGGGGGTTGGGTAATTATATCTTCGGACAAGCTCGGAAAATTATGATTAATCATCCTTCAGGTAAGTCGATTAATCTTTTAATTTTCCTTCGCTTGTCCTTGATATAATTACCATGTAGATGTTCAAAGTCAAAGGCAATTTTTTTATTTTTTATAACCATATATTGATATAATTAATTATTATCATAAGATATTAACTTCTCTAACAATTACTTATTGTAAGAAATATAAATTCTAAAATTTAAAAAATATTTTTTTTTTGAACTTTAGAAAACTTTGGAAATTATATTTTTTATATTTTTACATATTTACTAATAAATGATTAACATAAACTCTGAGTTTATAACTAACTACTGAGTATATAATGTAAAGAACTTAACTTTTAACTTATAACTAATAGAATGAATATGATATATTGATAACACCTAAATAATAATAAAAAAATACTTAATACTACTAACAGTAGAACACTACGATTTATTAGAACCCAATTCAATAATGGCTTTGGCAAATTTATCTTGAGGTTTTTCTACAGGTCTATTATAAAAACTAAAGAAGGTGTTCGAGGCAGGAGTCCAGCCTGCTGTATTTTTAATTATCTCTATATTTACGCCTGCTTTATACGCAGCCGAAGTTGTAGCGTGACGTACACTATGGGCTGAAAAAATGGACGTATCTACGCCACCTAAGTTTAAAGTATTTTTAATCCACCTGCTTATTGTCTGAGAAGATGCTGAACGGTGTGGTTTTTTATGGGTAAGAATTAGTTTTTCTTCGGTATTGCGTATTGGTTTCGTTCTTTTAATGTAGTCCGCAATGGTGGACGCAACGCAAAGTTCTTGTTTACTCTTAAAAAACGGAAAAATTAGTAGCGGTTGGAATCTGCCTGGAGCGGATGTTTTTACTCTATCTGGTATTTTAATCTCAACTCTGTCTACCGATATATTAATGTTTTGAACTTTAATTAGAGAAAGAGTCTGAACTCTGCTGGCTGATGTCAGTGCCATAAGAGTGACTAGTTTATAAGTTGCGTATTCTAAATCTAACGCCTCTAGAGGATATAATGTACCTAGGTATTTTAATAGAGGGTCTGGATCCCAAGTAATCTTATATTTAGGTCCTGGTGGTCGAATATTAGACACTCCCTTCACAAAACGATTAATTACTTTTTCATCATTATTACTTATAGGACTAAATATCAAATTAAGAGCTGATCTATAAGAATTGACGACAGAAAATGAAAGACCTTCTTTTAAGGCATCGGATAAAAAATCCAAATATGTTTCTAGCTTATAAACAAGAGGATCCCTGTTACTGTCAGCACAAAATTGCCAGAATTTTTTATAACAAGATGTGTACTGTTTAAGTGTTCCTTTTGATATAGATGCCTCGATTATTTCTATTGCTGTCACTGGAACCCCCTTTCTTATATAAGCCTGCCGGATAATTTCCCTACTACCAGGGAAATCTCCTCGTGTAGTGGGTGGTAGTCTCTGAAAGGAGAGACAAGTAAAAATTTGTTTGCTTTAAAATAAATAGGTTTCTCTAATAACAACTTAGTGAACAGGGGATACCATGCCTGTGTAGGCCAATAAGGTACTACTACAATTCCTAATCCCTTTTCCTGAACAATTTTTTCTAAGACCCTAGTAATTATTGAAAAGGGGGGGAAAGCGTAAAAGAAAAATTCTGACCACCTTATTGTGAACGCGTCAACCTTCCATGACTCAGGATCTGGAAACCAGGAAACAAATTTATTGCACTTTTTGTTAATTCTAGTTGCAAATAAATCTATTTCCGGAGAACCAAATCTCTGTATAATTTGATTATATACAGTGTCATTTAGCTCATATTCAGTATTAATTGAGAAAAATCTTGATTCTCTATCTGCCTCAAAGTTAGCAGATGAACTAATATAGCTAGCGAATACTATAATACACTTCTTTTCACACCACTGCCAAAGAGCTTTTGTAATATTATCTAAATATGAGTATTTAACACTTCCACCTCGATTAATACACGATATTGCCGTTTGATTATCAATTCTTAATAAAATGGAAATATTTTCTTTGTCTTTAGCAAGTGATCTCAAGGCGAAATAGGCGGCTTTGATTTCTAAAAAATTAATATGTTTTACCTGCTCTTTATTATTCCAGAAACCGTGACATCTGTGACCGTTACAAAACGCTCCCCAACCCGTCTTGGAGGCGTCTGAAAAAATTTCAAGTGAGAAATTTTTAGATTTTATCGATTGACCTAATCCTATATTATTGTGCCACCACTCTAATTCATTATTTAAAGAGGTTGGAATATGCATCTTTTTATTATAATTGTAATAGTCTCCTCGCAACAAAAAATGTTTAATTTTT